GATTCATAGCCGAGATGATGCATCGCTCTGCCAAACCAGAGGAGACAAAAATGAGTTGACGGTTTCTGCGAGTGCGATGGCACATATCGATCAGAAGGTTTTGATCTTGCACTACCTCGCTTTTGAAAGAGTCTCGGTTCTTAATATAAGACCAGTCAGGTATATAGACTGACAGCTGTGGGGTTCGAACCCACGCCCTTTCGGACAGGCGCTTAAGCCAGCGCTTTAGACCACTCGGCCAAACTGTCGGTAAGTGATTCAAAAATTATAGCGGAGAAGATGCGTTACACTATAGGACATGACACAAAAACGGTTCCGAACCGTTTCCGCGGAATGCGTTCTTCATCAAATCACACAAAAAGAAATTTCTAACAGCTGTGGGAATCGAACCCACACCCTTGCGGATTGACGCCTGAAGCCAGCGCCTTAGACGACTCGGACAAACTGTCGATGAGTACTTTAAGATTCATAGCCGAGGTGATGCATCGCTCTGCCAAACCAAAGGGCACAGAAATGGGTTGAACGGTATCTGCGAGTTGCGATGGCGCAATATCGATCAGAAGGTTTTGGTCTTGCACTACCTCGCTTCTGAAAAGGTCTCGGATTTTAATACAACACCAGTCAGGTATATAGACTGACAGCTGTGGGGTTCGAACCCACGCCCTTTCAGACTGGCGCCTTAAGCCAGCGCCTTAGACCACTCGGCCAAACTGTCGATGAATGCTTCAAGATTCATAGCCGAGGTGATGCATCGCTCTGCCAAACCAGAGGAGACAAAAATGGGTTGAACGGTTTCTGCGAGGTGCGATGGCACAATATCGATCAGAAGGTTTTGATCTTGCACTACCTCGCTTTTGAAAGGGTCTCGGTTCTTAATATAAGACCAGTCAGGTATATAGACTGACAGCTGTGGGGTTCGAACCCACGCCCTTTCGGACTGGCGCCTTAAGCCAGCGCCTTAGACCACTCGGCCAAACTGTCGGTAAGTGATTCAAAAACTATAGCGGAGAAGATGCGTTACACTATAGGACATGACACAAAAACGGTTCCGAACCGTTTCCGCGGAATGCGTTCTTCATCAAATCACACGAAAAGAAATTTCTAATAGCTGTGGGATTCGAACCCACGCCCTTGCGGACTGACGCCTAAAGCCAGCGCCTTAGACCACTCGGACAAACTGTCGATGAGTACCTTAAGATTCATAGCCGAGGTGATGCATCGCTCTGCCAAACCAAAGGGCACAGAAATGGGTTGAACGGTATCTGCGAGTTGCGATGGCGCAATATCGATCAGAATGAAATCCCATGCACAGAGGAGTGGGACAGGCAGACGAGGATGACACGGGCAGGAATGGCTATAAAACTTGTGGTTTCTATGAAACCGTAGCCCGGGCAGGTCATAACCGTTAAACTGGAACCCGGGCGAGCGCTAACTCCAGATCCGTGACTGGTGAGAGCATAGGCTCTAACCGAGATCTGGATGGGTTAGCTCATAGCCACCTGCTGTGAACATCCTCGATCTGCTAGAGTGCTGGTCTATTTGTAAATCAAGAGGGCAGCGTGGAATCATCACACACTGCTCCCTAAACCA